GGCACTCATCTCACCTTTCCTGAGCGTTGCCCTGGGTAGAAACACCATTACGATATTTCACAGTTTTGTCCTTACAACATTTCAATAAATGGGTTAAGGTTGAAATTTAAAGTTCTCTGGCTCCTTCTCCCTGCCCTGCGCAGGTTAGGACATCTGTACTGAGCAGCAGAATAAAGGCCAGATAGTGATGGTAGATCCTGCTGTGCAGGGATCCCCTTTATAAGCAACTTAGACAAAGAGAGGCAACTCTTGTCCCATGAGAATAAACCAATTGATTCACAGTTTTGGTGCTTTCAAATATAAAGATTCTTCTTTGATCTCAGCCTTTAGATGCTTGCTCACCACATGCTATGCAAAGTTTATCTCTTACTAACTAGGCACTGCCAGGAAAATGTAACTTAGACAGCATTGTCTGTTACCCCTGTCTTACATGAGGACGGTTAGATCGATGAGTCTGTGGCTGCGCTAGGTGTGAGGATGCACCCTGACAGACATAGCAAGAGTATTCTCAGCTCACATAAAACATCAAAAGCATCCAGAAATAGGCTGTGGCTGTAGTTACTAGACATGCTCTGTATTTGTTTCCAAAGCTGTATAGGAAGTTTTGGAGACAAGCCACCTGGCAGGCCGCTCCCTTTTTATTCACCTGATAGCTGAGACAGTCAAAGCTTGGACGGGAGATTTGTGTTTGTCAGCTCTGTGTCACGGAGTCACTGCTCTGAAGGAAGCCAGGCAGGACTCTTGGTGGATTTTCTGTAACTTGACATCTTTAAACCATGATTTGAGGACTTAGTAACTCATCCAGAGGTTAGGGGTCTATCACAGGAGTGGGTGAGTGAGCTTCTGTGGCCTGCAATGTGCAGGAGGTCAGACTAGATGATCACGATGGTCCCTTCTGACCTGAAAGTGTGTAGTTCAGTGTCTCCACCACTGGGCAAGAAGCCTCCTCAGCTTCAGCACCTCCTGGGTCTGACATTGGAGTGTGCAGCACCCCTGTTCACACCGTGAGCTCCCCGCAGGGAGTCCATCTGGATGACACACCTGGGGATGCCTTATACGCCCCTCAACGGGACCGTGCACCCCAGCTCCGCAGTCAGCAGTGACTCTCAGCCAGCTTGGAAAACAGAAGGGTTTGTTAGTCGTTAGGAACATAGAATAGAGCAGAACTTGTTAGCACAGAAATCAGGAGCTTTTAGCAAAGTCCATCTTGGGCGGGATCCAGAGCCCTGGGCTCTCCCCGCCGAGTCCCAAACCAAGAGACTGACCTGCTTCCAGCCCCCCATCCTCAGTCATGCCCAGCTGCCCTTCTCCTTGCTTTGTCCCTTTCCTGGGCAAACAGGTCACCTGGCCTCCCCCTCTCTCTTTGTTCTCCAACACCTTTGCCTGGCTCCTTGCAGAGGATGGCTCTTGCCACCACTAACCAGGATACAGAGTGTTCAGCCATTCTCTGTGCCCAGGCAGCCAGTCTGCAGTCACCCCTGCCCTCTAGGGGTCTCCACAATGATCACACACCTGTATCCCACCAGCTCGATGCTTGAGGAACACATTGGGAAAACTGAGGCACACACACAGTATTCCGAGAAAACATTAAAAACATTCCCCCTTCGTCACACCCTGGGATATCAGTGGGCTGCTCGGCACAAGAGCATGTTTGTGGCTGCTGTGTGGGAAGGGTTTGCTGACAACACTGACTGTAGTGTTGTGAAAGGAAGGAGATCTTGACGTTCTTCACATCCAATGAACCCAGGTGCTTCTGCTACGTATGGCCACATTACAGAGACTGAGGGCTGGATTCACAATGGCTCACAGACACCCAAAGTCCAGGCTAGGCACATAAATCTGGGATTAGGAGCCTAAATCCCAGTTTAGGATCCACAGAGACACACAAAACTCCTGTTGAACCCTCTAGGTGCCAAAGCTCACTCAGCAGTAGCTATATTTTCAGGTTTCAGAGTTGCAGCCGTGTTAGTCTGTATCCGTAAAAAGAACAGGAGTACTTG